TCTCTTCGGCCGAACTATCCCATGACCGAAATAGCATTGGCTATGCCGAACCGTAGAATAGGCCATACTAACCGTAGTTCGGTTCTTCTTGCCACACAATATATTGGTTCTCCCATACACGAACCGTGGTGCATTTGAACCGCCCTACCAAGTAATAACATTCCAACCGATCTCGACCGGAACAACTTATAACCGGACTATCTTGGAGATCGGTTTAACTAGAAGCCACCCCGTACCGGAGTAGCTTTACATCCCTGAGCCGAAGTAACATTTACTTCTCTCAGCCGGAGTAACTACGCTCCTCCTGGGCCGGAGTAACATTGCTCTCCTGGGCCGGAGTAACCTTCACGGCCTTCTTACTTAGTCCTTCGCGTTTTGGGCTTCAAAGCCCAACTTGCAGCTCGGCCCAATTTTTCCCAAAAATTACCCTCTCACATTCATAGAATGATAGAGTATACTATAAAGATGTTGTCAAGCTCGACTTAAAAAACCTTCCACATGTTCGATGAAACATATCCTACATTGTTGGGCACCAAACAGGAACACAATTTGTGCTTCCATGCAAACACTAAATGGAAAGCAAGCAACTTACTAGGCAGACAATAAATCCTTGAAGAGTCATACTCAAAACCATTGATATATGTATTAGCAATCCAATTACATAACACTCTGTTAATAACTCCATTAAGTTAGATAGATCTTCACTTTTTCAACCATGTAACAGCCTCATGTAAAAAAATATTGCTAAAATATGGAAGAAAAATGTAGTTCTAGATAAACGATTCATGTATGGATAGTTTTCTGGAATTTATTGACTTGAATAGCTTTAAAAGTGAAAAACTCAAATAGATGTCTAAAGATCTAAAATAAGATATGACATGGGTAGGCTCACAAAGGCTATAGCCCACTATGAACAACACAAGCCTACTACTTAAGACCCAATACATAATTCAATTAATGAAGCCCAGCACTGCTGAAGCCCCATACAGCAATAAGAGCCAATGATATCAGGACATATGGCAAGAGAAGGGCAAGCCACATCTGCAGACAAAGATCTGAAAAGTTATTGCCACGACACATTGCCATTAATGAGGCCCCCTTCAACATTTTTTTTTAAAAACCCCCCCCCCCCAAAAAAAAAAAATGTTTTTCCAAAACCTTCATATTCATGATTATTAACTTTGTCTAACACATGCTTATTGGCTAGAGTTTTAGTTCTTGACGGCTGTGCCGTAAATTTCTGGTTTACAGTTAACCAATAGAAGAATGCCATGGTACACAAATAGTTACATTATATTCCCTGTTTGGCTCTGTTTCTTGGCCCATTACCCTGTCTTCCAACCAATCTGGTTTCCTCCACCATGGAACCCCCAGCACCTCTTCTAACCACTTCTTCCCTGTTGACAACTCCCTTCCCACCTCATCTCCTTCCTCTCCTAGGCCAACATGTTCTCCCTTAAACACCCGTCACGGCCTATCGTTTTCCCCATTTAACACGATCATTGTGGCCAACGTCGCACCTCAATCCATATTCCTTAACACTACTGCTGATAGGGTGATGCTATGGTACATTTAGGTGTACCATACATTTAATTATGAACTTATATGATTTTATATCATAACCTATACCATATTAGTCATAACTATCACCATATTAACTCATAACTTAGTTATATTCAATTATTTACATATACCATATTACTTCATAACCAGGTCATTAAAAGTGACCTGCTAAACAGGTCACTTTTTATAGTTATGAGCTAAAATCATATTTCTTCATAACTATAATCAAATTGATCATAACTTAGCTATAACTACATCTCATAACCAACACCATTTTGTTCATAACTAATATCACATATTTCATAACAACATCTCATAACCAACACCATTTTAGTCATAACTAACATCACATATTTCATAATCATAATCACATATCTCATAACCAACACCACTTTGATCATAACAAATATCACATATCTCATAACTATTGATCACATATCTCATAACCACATCTCATAACCAATCCCTTTGAGTCATAACCAACATCACATATCTCATAACCACAAGTCACATATCAGTTTCTCGATACATTTTTTTGTGTGCACGCATTTCGAGGCATCTCATTTTCATTGCATCATATCTTTTGATCTTCAAA